CTGCACCCGGGATTTGGAGCAGACTCCCGTTTGCTAAGCATGGAACCAGCACTCGCTGATTGGATAGGACGGAAGTGCTTATTGATGCTCTTTGTAGAGCTGTGTTTCTGGACCCAGGACCTCACTTCCGAAGAACTTCCTGCTTATGAATCCACCCCAGATTTGCAACTGTTAACCTCAGCCATTGCTTACGCTGGGTGGGGTCGGTTGGGGGAACCCTGATACTGGTATCAGCTAATGTTATTCAAGCGGATTATGATGTTTATTTTCAGATAATTCATCTGAAATAACCTTCCTCCAGACAGATATTATGTTAACAATGACTGGGGCATTTGGGAAGACAGAAACCGGGGTTGGCAGTCCCCAGGTCGCGACTCAGTGGGCATGACAGCACCTAAACACCATCCCATCCAAGGCGCAGCGGACTTCTCCACGTGCACTCCCCACCTTTTATAAAGTTCCTTACTCCTCACTCTCTTCCTCACACCAGAAGGATTTGCATACACTTCAAAGGTACAAGGTTTAGGGGGGAAAATTCTTTATTTGGAGCTTTCTGGTCACAGAAGAAGCCTCCCGTGGTGAGGGGCCGAGAGCTCACAGTGCGTGCCTGCTGGTGAGGAGCGGCCCACAGGGCCCCCTCCCCTCTCGCTCCTGGGACGTTGTCCTGAGGTCAGAGTGAGGGGCAGTAGCAGGTCAGGTGTGTCTCGGCTGGCTGGGCGGGCCTGCTCCTGCGACAGCACCCCACGGGGTGGTCCAGGCGCAGGCCGTGCCACCTCGGGAGAACCTGCCACCTTCCCAACCTCTCAGTCGCCCCGACACGTCGCATGTGCCCTCCAGCCACGCTGCGGGGCGCCCTGAGTCCCAGACGGTGGCTGCGTGTGGACACACATTCCAGTGGGAGGATCAGTCTCGGGCTAAGTGCCTTGGCCAGCGATCACAGAGTGTTTATGTACCCAAGGCCAAGTTCACCGCCGGCCTCTCAGATGACAAATACATTTTGTTCTTGCCGCGTGCCTTTCACTTGAGAAACCCCAGGCACCTTCCATGTGGGTCCTCAGAGCCGTCTCCGGACGTCCCCCGGCTTCCGGACCTGTGGCCGAGCGGCCCTTTCCCCGCGGAAGCACTTATGTCCATTAGAGCTCCAGGCCGGGGCTGGCTGCAGGCGGCCGTCGGCCTTCAACATGGTGTCTGTGCCACTGGCCCTCAGAGATGAGGACCAAGCAGGGCGCTTTTGGAGCTGTGGTTTTCAGAACCTGGTACCCCCAGGAGAACGGCAGTCACGAGGACCCCACGGCCACACGGCAGGAGGGGGCTCCGTGCCAGGACGGTGCTTTGGGAGCCGAGAGCTGGGCTCTGGGCAAACTCGCTAACTGTAGGGCAGTAACGACGACGGGGGCCTGCAAACCGGAGCTTCCCCAGGTGCAGACTGGGCGCCTGATGCTCCCCGAGAGCCTGTGAGCTCTGGAGATGGACACATTCCTTGGGCGGGCACCGAGGAGGCCCCTGCTGGGGCAGTGCCCTGCCAGGTTCATTCCGCTGGCCCTTTCTGATCTGGTTCCCCTGTCCCTCTGCGGGAGATGCAGTGACGACCAGCTGGACACGGCTCCTCAGCCAAATGCTGGGCCTCAGCGAGGGAGCAGACGGAGATCATGCAAAGTGCCTGCAATGTGACCGCACTGTTCTGAGCAGTGTGGCCGTGTGTGTGCGTGTGTGTGTGTGTGTGTGTGTGTGTGTGTGTCTGTGTGTGCGCGCGCTCACTCATGAATCCTCACGGGGTCCCACGAGGAGGTGCTGTTATCTCTGCATTTGGCGGGTAAGAGCACGGGAGCCCAGGAGGATGCTGTCCTTTGTGCAAATCACACGGCAGAAAAAAAATAAAAATAAAATAAAAATCACACAGCGGATGATTGGAACCCAGTCTCCTGGTCCTAGAGTCTTTGTCCTCACTGCCCCCGCCCATCCGTGCCAAGGGGGAATTTAGGAAAGAAAGTTTCCCGACCTCTGAGAAGGGTGGGGATAAAGTGCCTGGGAGTTTCCAGCCGGAGGGAGAGGCTGAGGGGATGCCCAGGGGGAGCTGGAGTCCCCGTCCTTGCCCCATTCCGAGCCAGCGGCCTTTCTGCTGGGGGCGGGGGACGACACCCTCAGCTGCTGAGGCAGCTTCTCAGGGAAGCAGGAAGCACTGGAGACCTGGGCTCCAGAACTGGTTGACCAGACAGGCCTCTGCCTTCCTCGTCTCTAAAACGGGGGTGTTGGACAGCGCTCTGCTCCATCCCAGAAGTCCGTGGTTTCAGCGGGTCAGGGCGGGGCTGGCTCTGCGTGCACCCAGCGGGGTTTGTTGACCAGAAAGACACGCTTGGCACCGAGAAATGAGGAGCCAGGCACGTGGCTTCCCGGAAGCCCAGCGGCTGTGAAAGGCTGTCTGGTTCCTCAGCGTCAGTCCCATCGGCTCTGTCTGCGGGCCTTTCTCCGCAGTCAGGGTGGCAGCTCTGTGTCCGCAGCGCAGGCTGTCTGGCACATTCAGAGGAGAGAGAGAGAGAGAGAGAGAGAGAGAGAGAGAGAGAGAGAGAGAGCGCGCGCGAGCGGGTGACAGAGAGATGGAGGGAGAGAGCGGGGAGGCAGAGCAAAAAGGAGAGGAGAGATTGAGAGAGACTTTGAATCTGCTTGGAAATTCTGAGGAATTCAGTGCTTTCAGAGAGTTAATGGAGCTTAAAAGCTTCAAATAATAACTGTAGCTTCATCCATCTGCTAAGTTTTCTCCTCTGGGGCTCCTCGTTTCCTGGTATGGCAGAGGCAGCCGGGACTGGACTGGTGTTCCAGGTGAAGAGATGGAAAATAAAACAAGGAACATGAATAGATTAAAACAAGAAAATCCCACAAAAGACGAAAGCGGGCCAGGAGACGGTCCCCGGAGAACGGAGGCTCGGGTTGGCTGGTCTTCCGGAGCCTGGGAGTGCGAGGGAGCTGCTGATGGGGTGGGAGGTGCAGCTGGGAAAGCAGGAGCCACGCGAGGTGGCCTGCCCTGCGACGTGTCCTCCGCGGCTCTGTCCGCCTTGCATGGCGTGTGCCCGAGGCTGGCTTCCTGTTGGATTGCTGCGGGGCAGCTGGCGGCCGGGAGACCGTGCTGTTCCCATCACCACTTTGTCCTTGAATAGCCAGGGGGTCCATGGCAGCACACCTGGTGTCCCTCTCTTCACGGCCAATGATCAGAGGAGGCCGCGGGGCCTGCCCGCCAGAACACACCTTATTCAAGTTCAAGGGAGAGGGGGCTTTCCCGAGGAGAGTGGGAAACCACCCTCACATCCGGGGGAAGGGGTGGCGGGCCTGGGTGACCTGGAGGCCATGTCCCTCAGCGGTGGGCGGCGTTGACCCACCACTCGTGTGGTAGAGGCTATTGGACCCTCTGGATGTCTCAAGTTCATGTTCCCTAAAAGATGGGGGCTCTACCCACATCTCCCTCCACTACAGAGGGCTCCAGGGGGCCCAGGCAGCCCACAGGAGAGCTATGGATGCCCTGGCCCTCTCCGTCCATTTCTCATCCATCCCCTGTGCTCACCACACTGCCCCGCCCGACTGTAAGCCCTGTGACTGCAGGGAGGGAGCTCCTTAACCTCTGGGTGCCTCAGTTTCCTGGTCTGTAAACCAGCAGGACCAGGGACCACCTATGGCTGTCCTAAGGATGGAGTGGTTGAAGATTAAATGAGGTGATCATTCCCGAGCATTTGCTGTAGCAAGTCCTGATCTAGGCACCTGGTGAATATTAACTTAGTGCTTACAGTACCCCTTGGAGGTAGGGATTCTCCTTGGGAGGAAACTGAGGCACAGGGAGGATGGTTAACTTGCTAATGAGCCCGGCCGGCCCCAGAGACCACGTCTGACTGTGTTATCCTGCCTCTCCCAGCGAGAGGAGGGCATTGTACCCGAGCTGGGCCCAGCAGCGTGTGTACTCGGTGTGAGCTCTGGCCTCTGGCCATTCTGTGCCCTGCTGGGATCCCCTCGCGACAGGGCCCTCAGGGGAGGGCTGCAGGGCCCACCGCCTCCTGGAGGCTCCCCGCACCCCAGGCCGCCTGCCTCGGCCCCCTGGGTGACAGCATCTTGTCATGTGACTGGCATTGGCCAAGGCCCTCAGGTTTGCCCTGGAGGCTCAGGCAGACAGGGCCTGGCCAAAGAGGCGCTACCTTTGAGCATCATTATCATCTCTGATCCTCGGTTTGGCGCGTGGGACTCTCAGGGGCGGGGCTTCAACAGACAGAGCTGGCGGGTGGGTCTCACTCCTCCTTACACACGGAAAGCCAGGTCAGCAGAGCGTCTGTCCGAAACCAGCTCCCGCCGCTCAGAAGAGGGTCTCGGTGGTTCCAAGAAACACGTGGCGATGGGAAAGGTACCGAAAAGACAGGAACCATCGGCCCCGGAACAGCATGGGCCTGAACTGCGCTGGTCCCCTTATAGGCAGGAAACACTGTCAGCGTATCTTCTCTTCCTTACGATTTTCCTAACAGTGCTTTCCTTTCTCTCACTTACTTCGTAAGAACACAGAACGTAATACATGTACCATGCAACACACGTGGGAACCGACTGGTTACGGTATCGGAGAGGCTCCCAGCCCCAGTTCGCCTTTTTATGGAGAACCATATCCTTTTTCATCTCTGTTCTTGTCTGGGATTGAGGCACACTTTAAAAACCATTATTTACAAGTTTTGCTAAGACAAGCAAACAAAAAGGTCCGTTTACCTCCGGTCACCCACCTTCGCAGTGGCACCTACCGCCGGCAGACGCGTGTCCACAAGGATGTTTTCTCCGGTGACCCCCCGCCTGCTCTGAGTGGACACGGTCCGGGACCGGGGGGGGGAGGGACCCCTTGGCCCAGGCCTTCTCGGTGACCACCTTCGTCTCCTCAGGGGCCGAGTGGAGAGGCAGGGGCCCTGGGTCCCCATCGTCCGCCGCCAGGAAGACACGTGCAGCCAGGATGAACCTGGGACCCGGAGCCGCTCGCCGCGTTAGCCATGGAGAAGCGGGGCCTCGGGGAGATGGACACGGTCCCGCCACCGCAGCCTCCTTGCTCCCACGTGAAGCTGTTGAAAACCAACCGTGAGCTGCTGGTCACGCACATCCGCAACACTCAGTGCCTGGTGGACAACCTGCTGGAGAATGACTACTTCTCGGCTGAAGACGCCGAGATCGTGGGTGCCTGCCCCACGCAGCCCGACAAGGTGCCGCGGACGGGGGACGGGGGACGGGGGACGGGGGACGGAGGGGGGAGGGGGGAAGAAGAGGGGAGGGAAAGGGAGGTGGCCCTGGCAGGATGCCATGTACATTGGGCAGAATTGGCCACCACAGCCATTTCTAGAATTTAAAGGCTTGTGTGATGGGCTTATTACACAATCACGTGTTGTTCCTCTGTGTTTCTGTCGCATGCAACCGCTCACCCCTCTCCTGGCCATGAGCACTGGGCCCCCACCAGCCCATTCTTGACTTGACTTTAAATGAGGAGGAGGGAGAGGAGAGAAAACAAGCAGAAAGCACCGGCCGGGGCGTTGCAGGGAGTGGGGAAGCTCTTTTCTGCCAACGGCCCCTTGGACAGTTACAGCATCCTTCGCTGGCTGGTGATACAGAATCATCAACGGAAAAATCAGCCTGCTCTCTGCGGTCACACATTTAATTAACACACCCCTGGGGCCTTGGCAGGGCCGGACCTAATGATTTTGTAGGCCTCGTTTGGCCTATGGGTGGGCCATTCCCCACCCGTGATCAGGGACTTTAAACGCCAGGGAGCTGCTCACTGCTTAGACTCTGAGCGTGGCCCTCCCGTCCGGGAACGGCTGCATTCGAAGCCGGGCCTACATAAAAAATTTCCCCACGCCACGGCGGGAAGTGTGAGCAGCCCTTCGTTCTCCCTGCCTTGTGTCATCTGAAAAATAAAACTGGCAAGCCCCCACTCCTCCCTGCTTGGAGAGTGACAGACCTGTGTGCCACGGGAGCCTGCTGCCCGCAGAAGAGACCCGAAGGGTTTCTGGGGAGGCACAGTGGCTCACCCTTGTAACTTCCCCCCTTGGTTTTTAATAACATACGAAGCCTTTCTCACAGTACAGCTTACATGGGGGTTGACTGTCCCCTGGCTGGGTGGCCTGGTGCCCACATATGCCAAAGGGGTGACTCTCTCCTATGACTCATTCCTAGAGAGCAGTGGTGTTAGTTCAAGAGAGAAAAGGGGACACCGAGCACATCCCAGAGGTGGGCGCAGTCCTGCTGTGAGTCTGCCCTTACTTTTAGGCCCAGGGGAGCCTCGTGGTTTTGTGGAGCTGCGTGGCTTTCTCTCCAGCTAAGGTGGCCCAGGCCTCAGATTCTAGGCCTTCGGTGCCTAGCATCTCCGCTGGCTGGCTGGCTGGCAGGCTGGTCCAGCCCCGGGCCGCAGTCAGAGCCGTGGGGCCTGTGGTGTGGGCCGTGCCCGTGGGAGCGCACCCCTGGTGCCACGCTCACGCCCGCCTGCTTGTGCTGCCACCAGGTCCGCAAGATCCTGGACCTGGTGCAGAGCAAGGGCGAGGAGGTGTCCGAGTTCCTCCTCCACGTGCTCCAGCGGCTCGCCGATGCCTTCGTGGACCTCGGGCCCTGGCTGCTGGAGGTCGGCTTCTCCCCTTCCCCGCTCATCCAGAGCAAGACCGTGGTCAACACTGACCCAGGTAGGAGTCCGCGGGGCAGGGTGTGTGGGGGGGGGGGGGGAGGGGGGAGGTGGACTGCAGACACCAAGCACACAGCCCGGGCTGGGAAAGGCTGTAGGGAGTAGGCACAAGAGGACAGGAAGCTGGCCCACCACGGCCAGCCCTGACTTCCTGCCAGGTGCTGTGCTCCTGACAGCAGAGAAGAGCTCTCCCTGTCATGGAAGTGGCCACGCGCAGGGGGTCTGCTCTGTGTAGGGGCCCGTGGAAGTGTGGGAACGCCTCTGTTCTGACCTCCTGCTCACTTCCTGTTCTCAGCTGCACAAGTTCAAGGTCGCCTTTTTATTTTTTTTCCTTTTAAAAAATCTTTCCAGGTGTGACTCTGGGCAACGTATTCTCTTGTCAGTGCTTATTTGCAAAGCACCGTGGCGCCCCCTTAGGCAACAGGTGTTCGTGTGCCAGGGCTAGTGTGCCCGATGCCAGGGCCTGGACACCTTGGAGTGCGGGAAAGGCCCGCCTCCGTTCTGATGTGAGCCCCGTTTCCGAGCTCTGGTTTGCTGAGAGCGTGGCGCCCACGTAAGCACGTCACTGCGTCCTCGCCCCTGGGGCAGGCAGAGGGGTCACCTGGAGCACCTGCCACACGTCGGTGCTGCCCAGGTCTGCCCCGGGAACAGGGCTGTGTGGTCTTCCTCGGGTAGAAGGCTGGTTTCATCTTCGTGTACCCACGGGGGGGGGGGGGGGGGGGGGCGGGGTGAGTCGGAGGAGACGCAGCTCCTTTGTCATCCAGAGTAACATCCAGTGCTCATTCCATCATCGAAAGCCCTGGCGTGTGGTTTTGTGAGGCTGCGTGTGGCTTCCAGAGCAGCACATAAGCCATAGGAAGGTCAGGGCGATTTCTCAACACACGGATTTCGACGGGGTCTGGCTCCAGCTAGTGGAACAGGGCCCCGGGGATGGGCGGGGCGGCAGGGCCCCGAGGCCTGGCCCTGGAAGGTGAGGGAGCTTCGGTTTTCAGCTGGAGTTGTAATGACCACTTGTGCAGAGGACGGGGGCTGGGGGAGAGGGGGCCTGTCCCAGACTCTGGGTCCGATGGAGCCGTCACCCTCTAGCCGGCCAGGTCTGAGGTCAGGCAGAGCCGTCGGGGCCGACGACCTGCAGATCCTGGAGCTCTGGCTCCTCAGTGTCCTCAGGGTCAGGCTGTGGGGTTACCTGTGAGCTGGTTTCTCCTGCAGCCGCCCTGGTTGATTGCTTGGTCTCTGCTTCTCTCTTTTTCTCTTTCTCTCTCTCTCTTTCTCTCTCTCTGCCTCCACCTTTCCTGGGCCTCTCAACACTCCTCCCCTTTACCGCTCCAGTGAGCTTGTACATCCAGAAGCTGCGACACCAGCTGGGCCGCGACTCCAAGTTCATCCTGTGCTACTCGCAGAAGGAGGAGGTGCTGCTGGAGGAGGTGTACACGGACACCATCATGGAGCTGGTCGGCTTCAGCAACGAGAGCCTGGGCAGCCTGGACAGCCCGGCCCGCCTCCTGGACCCCGCCGCGGGCGTCCTCAACGAGCAGGGCGAGACCATCTTCGTCTCGGGCGACGCGGGCGTGGGCAAGTCCATGCTGCTGCAGCGGCTGCAGGGCCTGTGGGCCGCCGGCCGGCTGGACCCGCGGCTCAAGTTCTCCTTCCACTTCCGCTGCCGCACCTTCAGCTGCTTCGGGCCGGGCGCGGCGCTGAGCCTGCAGGACCTGCTCTTCAAGCACTGCTGCTACCCCGAGCGGGACCCCGAGGAGGTGTTCGCCTTCCTGCTGCGCTTCCCCCAGGCCGCCCTCTTCACCTTCGACGGCCTGGACGAGCTGCACTCGGACTTCGACCTGAGCCGCGCGCCCGACGCCTCGTCGTCGCCCTGGGAGCCGGCCCACCCGCTGGTGCTGCTGGCCAACCTGCTCAGCGGGGCGCTGCTCCGGGGGGCCACCAAGCTGCTCACGGCCCGCACGGGCGTGGAGATCCCGCGACAGCTCCTGCGCAAGAAGGTGCAGCTGCGGGGCTTCTCCCGCGGCCACCTGCGGGCCTACGCCGGGAAGATGTTCCCCGAGCCGGCTGCGCGGGACCGCCTGCTGGACCAGCTGGAGGCCAGCCCCAACCTCTGCAGCCTGTGCGCCGTGCCCCTCTTCTGCTGGATCATCTTCCGCTGCTTCCGCCACTTCCACCGCGGCGCCTGCGACGGCGGCGGCGGCGGCGGCGCCCCCACCGAGCTGCCCGACTGCACCGTGACCCTGACCGACGTGTTCCTGCTGGCCACCGAGGCCCACCTCAACCGGACGCAGCCCACCAGCCTGGTGCAGAGGAACACGCGCAGCCAGACGGAGGCCCTGCGCGCCGGCCGCGCCACCCTGGGCGCGCTGGGCCGGCTGGCCCGCGGGGGCATGGAGCGCGACCTGTTCGTGTTCAGCCCCGAGGAGGTGCAGGCCTGCGCCCTGCCCGAGGCCGACCTGCAGCTGGGCTTCCTGCGGGCCGTGCCCGAGCCGGGCCTGGGGGAGGACGGGCAGTCCTACGAGTTCTTCCACACCACCCTGCAGGCCTTCTTCACCGCCTTGTCCCTCGTGGTGGACGCCAGGGCGGGCACGCGGGCGCTGCTCCGGTTCTTCCAGGAGTGGGCGCCCCCGGAGGATGCGGTGGTGACGGCGGCGGCCTGCCCGCCCCACCTGTTCCCCTTCCCGTGCCTGGGGGCCCGCCGCCCGGCGGGGCACGACCCCTTCAAGAACAAGGACCACTTCCAGTTCACCAACCTCTTCCTGTGCGGGCTGCTGTCCAAGGCCAAGCAGAAGCTCCTGAGCCACCTGGTGCCCGCCGCCGCCCTGCGGAGGAAGCGCCGGGCGCTGTGGGCGCACCTGTGCGCCAGCCTGCGGGCCCACCTGCGGAGCCTGCCCCGCACGCGCTCCGGCGGCTTCAGCCAGGTGCAGGCCATGCCCACCTTCATCTGGATGCTGCGCTGCATCTACGAGACGCAGAGCGAGAAGGTGGGGCGGCTGGCGGCCAAGGGCATCTGCGCCAACTACCTCAAGCTGACCTACTGCAACGCCTGCTCGGCCGACTGCAGCGCCCTGGCCTTCGTGCTGCACCACTTCCGCAAGCGGCTGGCCCTCGACCTGGACAACAACAACCTCAATGACTACGGCGTGCGGGAGCTGCAGCCCTGCTTCAGCTGCCTCACGGTGGTCAGGTGAGGCCGCCAGCCCGGCCCCGGGGGCGCTGGTGGGCCGGGCCCCGGGGGCGCTGACGGGCCAGGCCCCGGGGGCACTGGGGGGCTGGGCACCCCCGGGAGTGCTGGCAGGCCTGGGCCCCGGGGGCGCTGGAGGGCTGGGTTGGCCGGGCTGGGCAACACCAGGACTAGCATCACGGAGTGGGGTCTCCCGGATTACCCTGCGAGTCACCATCACTGGTCTTGGAACTTCCAGACCTTCTCTATCTCAGGGTGGCTGAGAGCAAGGAACAAAGCTTTTTTAAAAAATTATTATTATTATTATTATTAAATTGATTGGGGTGACATTGGTCAAGTAACAAAGCTTTGAAGTCAGACAGACCCACAACGGTGGGTGTCCTTGAACAAGCTGCTTGATCTCTGAGCCTCAGGGTCCTCATCGGGAAAAGGAGATGCTCGTATCCTAGCAACTGCAGTACAGTAGACCCTTGAACAACGCAGGGGTTAGGGATGCTAACCCCCTGCAGCCAAAAATCCACATATAACTTTTTTTATATATACATTTTTTTGTTGATTTCAGAGAGGAAGGGAGAGAGATAGAAACATCAATGATTGGTTGCCTCCTGCACACACCCCCACCAGGGATCATGCCCACAACCCAGGCATGTGCCCTTGGCTGGGATCGAACCTGGGACCCTTCAGTCCACAGGTTGACGTTCTGTTCACTGAGCCAAACCAGCTAGGGCCACATATAATTTTTGGCTCCCCAAACACTTACTTATTAAAAGCCTACCATTGCCTGGCAGCCTCACACGAACATAAACAATTGATCAATACAGCGTGTGGCAGAAGTAGGTTTACAATAGTGAATATACAAAACAATTTATAATTGTATTACTATTTATTAATTATTTTATTATTTTTCATACAAATAACAGTAAACCTACTTTTGCTCACCCCTGAACATGTTGTGTGTTACATGTATTATACACTGTATTCTTAAAGTAAGCTAGAAAAAAGAAAATGTTACTAAAGTCATAAGGAAGAGAAAATACATATATTTTATGCACTCATTATATGTCTTTCTCTTAATTTTTTTTCAGTATTTTTAGGCTATAACATTTGTGAATTTTTCAAATTTTCATAAATGCCCCCATTTTTTCAATATATTGATTGAAAACAATCCACATATAATTGGACCCACACAGCTCAAACCCCTGTTGTTCAAAGGTCAACTGTAAGATCAATCAGCATTCATTGAGAGCGGGTGAAGTCATTACAAATGCTACCTAATTTAATCCTCTTAACACACTCTGATAAATTCAAAGACAATAAACAAATAAAAGGCAGAGTTTTTGCAAGGTAGCATTAGTTGTTTGCCATGATCAAAGCCAGCAGCCCTGAGCTTCCAAGGGATCTCAGTAAAGAACAATGACTCTTATTGTTGACTCTTGATTAGCTTCCTGTTTGATTATTTCAAGACTAGAGGCCTCCGAAACTGGTTTGGCTCAATGGATAGAGTGTCGGCCTGTGGACTGAAAGGTCCCAAGTTCGATTCCGGTCAAGGGCATGTACGGTGGTTGCTGGCACATCCCCAGCAGGGGATTAAAAAGGTCAACCTGCGGCCCAGTTTGGCTTGTGGCCCAGTTTGGCTTGTGTCTGTAGGCGAAGTGTTGTTGGAACACAACTGCAACCACTTGTTTACATATTGGCTTCTTCTCACGGAGGCTGCCCCCAAACTCAGGATATCAGAGGGGGCTGTCCGCACGTGGCCTTCCTGTGTCCCCTGTTTTCCTTGAGTGGAATCCGGGCTGAGCTGCAGGCTCGCCGATGGGCTGGCTCTGGGTGGGTCTGTCAGCCCCACGATGACCAGGCGCGGTGGGGGCTGTGTGGTCGGCTGGTCATCGTGGGGCCGACAGGACCTGGAGGCTTCTGCATCCCGGGAAAGTGAATGCCCTCTCCTAGTGAGCAGCTGCGCAGATGTGTCCCTCTCTCTGCTGTTTTGTTTCAGACTCAGCGTGAACCAGGTCACGGACAGTGGGGTCAAGGTGCTCTATGAAGAGCTGACCAAGTACAAGATTCTGACATATTTAGGGTACGTATTTCCCAAGAACCCTGGGCTGGCTACTCAGTAAAAGTACAGAGCAGCAGGAGATGGCCATTCCCGTGTGATCAGGTGGTTGGGACTGATGGCCACGGGCACAGGAAGAGCACCTGACGGGGAAGCAAAAGTCCTGGTTCTGCTGTGGGTCCAGCCAGCTGCCCACTCTTGGGGCAAGTCGGGCAATCACGCTGGGCCTCAGTCTCCTTGCTTGTGTCTTACGATCCTGGTAATATAGGCGAGTGGCGTTAGGCGTGGTGGCCGGGGGATGCAATGAGAAGGTAGCGAGGGCTCGTTTTCTAAACAGTAGAATACTGTTTGTTCATCAGACTTCATGGCGCTGGGCGCGTGACCCCTCGGCCAGAACCCTGGGGGCAAGACACAGGTCAGAGCCCAGCGCACATGCTGAGTAGTGCTGACATGGCGGGACCCCCTTTTTAAATACTTTCAGATTTCTGCAGCCAAACGTATGACTATTTAAGACAGGATGAGAACCATGAGCAGCTCCATACCAGTTGCCAAAGTTGTGAGAAAAAACTGGGTTTTCGGAGTCTGGAATTTCAGAGCTTGAGATGGGAGACCATGGGCCCGCACAGCCAGCCCCACGGCCGCTGTTTTTATAATTGATTTTAATCAGCTTCTTTGGGCCTCAGTTCCCTACGCTGAGCAGCGAGGACATGGGAGCACAGGCGCGAGGCCCCTTTCAGCTCGGGGCTCTGTGCATCCGTACAGTCCCCACTGCCCACTTCTCGGGGCGATTTGCTGAATTGGTATCAAGTGGCAAAATGACTGAAAGGCAGACACTGAGGAGGCCCGGTACTCAGAAACTTCCCCGTCAAGATGCTCATCAGCATCTTCATCTAAAAATGTCCATTACCTATCACTCATCGAGCACTTATGGAATGATCTCACACAGTCCTTATGACAGCCCTGTCGGGGAGCTGTCCTTCTCACCCCAGTATTCCAGACAGAGAAACAGGCACAGAGGCGGTAAGGAACTTGCCGCTGGCCATACAGCGGGAACGTGGCAGAGCGGCTCTGAACCCCGCCTGTGAGGCCCCAGACCCCCAAACTCGGGTCCCCACCTGCCCTTTCTTTCTTCTTCCAACCCAGACGGCACACACTCAGTGTTTAAAGCTGGGCTCCTTTAGGTGACATCCTGACTCACCACGCCCTCTGCCTGTGCTTTCTCCCGAAGCTTGTACAACAACCAGATCACGGACGTCGGAGCCGGCTACGTCGCCAGGATCGTGGAAGAGTGCCCAGGCCTCACGCACCTCAAGTAAGTGGGGCGGGTGGGGTGGCTCTTCATTCAGACAAACAAACGTCACCGTGAAGACTCTCCCCCTAAAGCCTTCTTCTGCTTGCCCCGGGGGCCTTACTGGTGAGTCAGGAGACCTGTGCGTGGAAGGTGAACTGGCCACGTGCAGGATTTATTAACTGGGAGTGAGGCTCGGAGTTGGTGGCTGGATAGCTTGGCATTTTAATGACATTAGTTAATGACGGGAAGAAAGGCCCCAGCTATCACCCTTTTTGGAGGTCCTTTTCCCCTTTTGGGCTTTTTTATAAGTATATCTATATGTTTACATCTCTATATATCTACTTTAAAAAAAAAATTGATTCCAGAGAGGAAGGGAGAGAGAGAAAGATGGAAACATCAGTGATGAGAGAGAATCATTGATTGGCTGCCTCCTGCACGCCCCACACGGGAGATGGAGCCCACAACCCGGACATGTGCCCTGACCGGGAATTGAACCATGACCTCCTGAACCACACCAGCCTAGCCTTCAGGCTTCTGTTACAAAATATCATAAGGTAGGCTGCTTATAAACACCTGAAATTCATTTCTTACAGTTCTGGAGGCTGGGGAGTCCAAGACCAAAGTGGTGGCAGATTACGTGTCTGGTGAGGGCCCGATTTCATGTCCATAGATGGGGCCTCGCTGTGTCCTCACCTGGTGGAAAAGGGGGAGAGGGGCCTCTTTTATAAGCCACTCACCCCAATCCTGAGGGCTCCATCCTCATGACCTACGCAGCTCCCAAAGGCCCCACCTCCTCACGCCATCACCCTGGGGGTGGGGATTGTGGAACATGACCTTGGGGAGGACATAGACATTCAGACCAGGGCACCCATCTAGCTGCAAGGGGGAGCTTGCCTTACCCGGTGGCAGAGCAGCAGGCCTGGAGGAGGGCACTCACAACCATTTGTGAACACTCACCTTGACCATTTGCAGCTGCAGCCAGCACCTCCTCAATCTGCTGATGGACACGAGTGACCCTCAGAGGTCACTTAACCCCAGGGGCCGCTCCGGTCACCGAGCTTCTGCAGGTGGTCACCATCACCTGGAGTGGAATCCTGACTGGTCTCCTCTGGCCTTCGGGTCCTTCTGAGTGGGAGTGTGAGGCGTAGCTGCCGTGGGTCCCAGAAAAAGGCCACGCCCCCGAGAGGGACCAGAGGGGCTCTGTGCTGGGATGAGGGTGACCGAGTCCCCTCCCAGCAGGAGGCAGACGCAGGCTCAATCTCTCTCTGCAGACTGGGGAAAAACCAGATAACCAGTGAGGGAGGCAAGTGTGTTGCCCTGGCTGTGAAGAACAGCAAATCCATCTTGGAGATCGGGTGAGTATGGACAACTGCACACGTGGAGAGACCAACAGCCTGGTCTCTCCGTGAGCACCTGCCGGTCTTCTTGCTCCTAACACACCACAGGCCGCTGGGCAAGCCGTGGGAGGCACAGGAGTTTTCCCGGGGTGCTGCCCAGGAGATGCTCTTTATCCTTTTGACTCTGAAACCCCAAGCAGCTCACTGCAGGGCTGATAAGTCCTTAAAAGATGACAGCCCACTACGGGGCTGACAGCTCACTAGGGGTGACGGCTCACTAGGGGATGATGGTTCACTATAGGATGACAGCTCATTGGGGCTGACGACTCACTAGGGAATGACAGCTCACTAAGGGATGATAGTTCACTAGGGGATGGTGGCTCACTAAGGGCTGACAGCTCACTATGGGCTGATGGCTCATTGGGGATGACAGCTCACTAGGGGCTGACAGCTCACTAGGGAATAACAGCTCACTAGGGAATGACAGCTCACTAAGGGATGCCAGTTCACTACAGGATGACAGCTCACTAGGGGCTGGCGTAAGAATTGCCTCCAGGCCACAGTTCCAGGGATGGAGCAGCAACGCCCGCCTGCGAGTGGACAGCCCACTGTGGCCCCACCAGCAGGCCAGGGGGAGCGGGCGCTCCCTTCACTGTCTCGCCTCTGCCCTCAGGATGTGGGGCAATCAGATCGGCGATGAAGGAGCACAGGCCTTCGCAGAGGCTCTGAGGAACCACCCCAGCTTGGTCAACCTCAGGTAACCGCTGTGTCTGACCCTGTGGACGCCAGGGGCCAGCCTGTCCCTGGGTGGCAGGGGAGGAGCCAAAGGGAGGAGGGCGGCTGGCTTTCCTAATGAGAGAGGTGTGTGTGTTTCTATGGACATACAGGAGACATTACATTAAGTGAGTCAAGTCCACGGCTCTGTGTTCAGCTTGGTGATTTGACACAGGCACCCGCCCATATAACCACCCCCAGGTCGAGGCAGAGGATACTGCCAGCCCCTCGGCCGTGTCCCCTTGCCCCGTGGGGGTGGGAGGAATTCTTAAGTCCAAATACACTGAGAGGGGCACTGGGCAGCGGATTCCTGCCCCTCCTCATTCTCAAGGCGGGTGCTGGACAGAGGGACCCCTTGTCCTTCTGGCCAAACCTCAGAGCCTCAGTGTTCCCCACCACTGGCGTCCTTCCTGCCCCTGGAATGAGTCTGAGACGGTGGGACAGTGGCGTCCCTGCTCTGGTGTCCGCTGTCTCCACCTGACCTCACGCGCTGAGCCTGTGCCCTGGAGCAGCAGCGCCTGGTGGCTGCCGGTGAGGCTTCCTGCCTCCAGGCAGCTGGGCCTCCAGCCAGACTCCGGGCTGTTCGGGCTGCGGAAGCCAAAGCCTCCTGCAATGATCCCCTCACGTTTCTTCCTCCCAGTCTGGCTGCCAACGGCATTTCGACAGGAGGAGGAAAGAGCCTCGCACAGGCCTTGCACTGGAACACGTCGCTGAGAATATTCTGGTAATTCCCAGATCCCTCCGGAAGGCTGAGAATCCCTTAGGAAGGTGCGCCAGACAGACTCTCCCTCTGAGTCACCGCCCCCTTCCTCTCCAGGCTCACCCAGAACGCACTCGACGACGAAGTGGCAGACAGCATGGCAGAGATGCTGAAAGTCAACCAGACGTTGAAGCATTTATGGTAACTCAGAACCCTGGGATTCCACACTGGGCTGCTTTTGAAAACGTTTGATTAAAACCAGTGGTCGGCAAACTCATTAGTCCACAGAGCCAAATATCAACAGTACAACTATTGAAATTTCTTTTGAGAGCCAAACTTTTTAAACTTCAACTTCTCCTAACGCCACTTCTTCAAAATACTTGCCCAGGTCGTGGCATTTTTTGTGGAAGAGCCACACTCAAGGGGCCAAAGAGCCGCATGTGGCTCGCGAGCCGCAGTTTGCCGACCACGGATTTAAACTGCATATGCCATACAATTCGCCCTTTTAATTCACCACTGCAATGTTTTTCAAGGTTGTGCAATCATCACTGCTATCTAATTCTAGGGCAGTTTTACCCTTCCCACCTCCCTACCCCCAATACCTGTATGATTAGACACTCATTCCCCGCCCTTCCCCTCCCCTGCTGGTCCCGCAACCACTCACTACTCCGCTTTGCCTGTTCTGGGCATTTCATAGACGTGAATCACAGCACGTGACCTTTTGTCTGTGTTCTTTCGTAGTGCACGTTTTCAAGATTCACCTACATTTTAGCACATATCAGTGCTTTTTATGGAGGGGTGACATTCCATTGTATGGTTCTTCCACATTTTCTATGTCCATTCGTGAGCTGGCGATCATTTGGGTTGCTTCTCCTTTTTGACTATCATGAATAATGCTGCTGTGAACATTCATGTGCATGCCTGTGTGTGATCATGCATTTTCATTTCTCTTGGGTGTCTACTTAGGAATGGAATTGCTGGGTCACGTGATCACTATGCATGTGTGAGGAATTGCCAGACTGTTTTCCAAAGCATTGCTCTACTTTGCATTCCCATCAGCAACGTAGGAGGGTTCCCCTTTCTCCAAATTCTCTCCAACCCTTGTCATTGTTCGTCTTTCTGAATCTTGCCCTCCTAGTGGGTGTGGTGTCTCGTTGTGGTTTTGATCTTCATTTCATTGATGACTAACAATGGTGGGTGTCTTTTTCATGTTGCTGTTGGCCATTGATATATCTTCTTTGGAGAAATGTCTCTAAATCCTTTACCCGTTTTTAAATTGGATTATTTGCCTTTCTTATCACTGAGTTGTAAGAGTTCTTGATATATTCTGGGTACCAGACATTTGTTAGATATTAGAGGCCTGGTGCACGAAATTCATGCAAGGGGCTCAGCCCTCGAAGCCCCGGCTTCATCCGGGAAGGTTGTCCGGATGGTGGTCCCGCTGTTCTGCCATCTGGCCTAATTAGCACATTATGCTTTTATTAGTATAGATAGGATTTGCAAATATTTCCTCTCTGTGGGGTTTCTCACTTTTTTGTTTTTAATGGACGTTGTACATAAGGTTATTCCTGTATCATCTCAATAGTTTCTTCCTTGTGCCCTAGCTGGTTTGGCTCAGTGGGTAGAGCGTTAGCTTGTGTACCGAAATGCACTGGGTTCGATTCTGGTCAAGGGTACCTGCCCAGGTTGTGAACTCAATCTCCAGTGTGGGGTGTGCAAGGAGGCAGCTGATGAATGATTCTCTCTCCTCATTGATGTTTCTCTCTCTCCCTCTCCCTCTCTCTCTCTCTGTATTTAAAACAAAATAGTTTCTCCCATGTATTTGCCCTTATCCCTTCCTACGTGGTGCGATGTGGCTGTTTGTGTGGGGATCTCCCTGTGGTCTCTGTGTTAGTGGAGTGCTAGCAGCCGTACTGGGGATGCCCATGTGAACAGGCGCACCGTTAGCTCCCTCCCGCTGCCTCCTCCAACGGAGACCACAGATTCCTTCCTGGAACCCTGCACTTCCTGCCACTGTGTGGCCCTTCGCAGTGTCCCCACACGCCTGAACTTCATCACCCCTTCGGGCCGGTGTGGGTTGAACTCCGCACCTCTGCCTCAGCTCCTGGGACGAGGGTGACAGGAATGTGGGAAGGAGCCGGCGCCGCTCAGAAGCCACAGAGATGGAACTTCCCTTTGACCGCGGGCGCTTCTGTGATGGCCGGCAAACGGGACGAGACCCAGAGCTGCTCTGGCTTTTCACTTTCTGGAGGGCGACCTCTGAAGCGCAGCAGCTTTGAATTTGGGGAAGTCCAGTCTGTCTGTTTCCCCTTTGGCTGCTTGTGCTGTAGGTATCTTTCTAAGATGCAGGCCCCAGAGGTTCACCTCTCGCCATTCTCTGAAGTGTTGTGGTTTTGCTCTCGTCTTGGTCTTCCATCCAGGTGGGTTGATGTTTGCGTGTGGAACGAGACAATGGGGTACAGCTTCGCTCTCTTGCCCCAGGTTGTCCCAACACCACTCGCTGAAAAAACCATCTTCCCCTTTTCAATGGCCCTGGCACTTTTGCTGAAAGTCAGTTGACCACCAAAGTAGCGTTTCTCGGGTTATTTCTGGGCTTTCTCGCCTAGTCCACGGATGCACGTGTTCGCCCTGTGCCAGCAGCGCTGTGCTGGCTGGTCAGTACCCCTTCCTGGGAAGTTTTGAGCTCGGGGATTGTGAGTCCTCTGGCTGTGTTCTTCGTCCTCAAGGTTGTCTTAAGGACAACCTGGGTCTTGGCCATCCTGGGCCCCTTGCATTTCCTTATGAATTTTAGATCGCCGTGTCAGTTTCAGTGGAAACAGCCAGACTGTGCTTTTTACATAATTTGATTGATCGGTTGGTTTCCTTTCTTTTTCCTGGCCGGTAGATTTCCTCTTATGCGCTTCCTGAGGCCAGGCCAGCCCCCCGGGGGGAGCGAGCTGGCCAGGCCTGGAGAGGGAGCCTGGGCTGCTTCTGGCCAGCTCAGCTCTACGGGCCCGGGTGGGGGCAGCCTGGAAGGCGTGTGCCTGAGCCCCCCACAAGGCCAGGGGTGGCTGCCACGAAGGAAGTCGCTGGAAAACGGCAGAGCTGAACTGAACGCAGTTGGACTGAACGCAGAACTCTGTGCCCACGGCCAGGTGCTAGTTCTGCTTTTGGCAAGCATGTCAAGTGACATGCAGTCATGCGTGTTAGAAGGTCATCACCTCTGCACAGGGTCTGAAGTCCAGCCTTGAGGAGAGGGGGCTGGAGCACTGGGTCCCAGCTGCAGGCTGCTGTCATTGTCCTGTGTGCGTGGGCAGTGATGGCAACACGGGCTCCCCTCCCCTGGGCACCATGGCACGGACTGTGAGAACGGCTTCAAACATGTCGTTCGGCCATTCAAACCTCACACACTGCGGGTAGGAAGATGCTCTTAGTTACACCCATTTTACAGATCAGGCACCTGAGGCACAGAGAGCCTGTGTATTTCTTCAAGGACCCATCACTAGGGAGTGGGGAGTTGAACCGCTGTGATCTGCCGCCTCTTTAAGGGGTTGGCCCTTTCACACTTTGGTAAGGCTGCCTCCTTGGGTCAAAGCCCGGGAGGTCTCAGGGTCCAGTTCGGTAGTAGCCTCACTGCAGATGGCCAGGAGTGAGGGGAGAGCCCGTGATGAAGGCAGACACATCGCTGCAGAGGGAGCTGCCCAGGGGAGCGTTCAGGCACTGCCAGGCTCCCGGCCGTCTGCACCCATTGCTCCGTCCCGATCGCTGCTGCCCCATGAAATGGGGTTGCTCCTCGAGGCCCCGTTATCACTGCTTCCCACGGGGCCCCAAGGGACATCAGGGACTGCTGCTCCTCTCGCCCTCTCATGGCGGGGAGGGCATGGCCCCCTCTTGAAGCCGTTGTTCCCCCCAAAGAAGAGAATGGCCAGCTGGTTGCTACTTCAGCTTTGAAAACTGCCTTGCCTTCCCCTCACCACCTGGAAGGAGACCTGCCTGCCCACTCCCCGGCGTGCGTCTGAGAGTCTGTGTGGTCTCCAGGCATTCCTGATTGGGCTCCTCTGCAGGGAGCTGGGCCAAGCACACATACACATATGTATGCTCACCCGTTAAGCTGTCTCTGTGGGAACGCACGGATGTATGATGCTCACTGTAAGAAATAGAGAAATCAAGCATTTCAAAGGCTGGATTGGATGTAGGTGATCTTACCCAACTTAAAGGTCATGAGGATTCAGTTCTCCCCGGCTCCGTCTTCCCCCACCATCCTGTCAGGTACCCCGGCAAAGGGGGCAGGGTTGATCCGGCGCCGTGTGCCTGACACCAACAACACATCCTTCTTCCAGGCTTATCCAGAACCAGATCACAGCCAAGGGGGTCGCCCGGCTGGCAGACGCCTTAGAGAAGAACACCGGCATCATGGAGATTTGGTAAGACCCGCCCACCTCTCGTGGTGATGGCAGTGTGTGCTCAGCACCACTGGCTGCGTGCCAGGTACCCTGGAAGGCAATTCCATCTATTCCCAGCGCCGTAGAAACCAGTCCAATCCCACACTGCACGCAGCAGCTTCCCGTGTGGCTGTCTCCTGCAGGCTGTGAGGGAGGGCCTGCGTCCCTGTCACCGCCGTGTCCCCAGGAACTGGCGCTGCTCTTCATTCGTTTGCTGAATAACCAAGTGCTTGTGTTGGCACTGACAATCCAGTGGCGAAGGACATGGAGCTGCCCTCGTAGGTTTATCATCTAGTAAGGGTGACACAGTGAAAAAAATCACATTCAAGCCCAGCCTGTGTGGTTCAGTGGTACAGGAGGTTGAGGTTGGATTCCCAGTCAGGGCACATGCCCAGGTTGAAGGCTTGATCCCCAGTGTGGGGCATGCAGGAGGCAGCCAACCAATGACTCTCTCTCATCATTGATGTTTCCATCTCTTCCCTCCTCTCTCTGAAATCAATAAAAACATTAAAAATTATTTTAAAAAATCACTCAAGTAATTATTTAATTAAATCGTGGTGAGTGCTATAAAGGGGAAAGCTAGGAAGGGGACCTACCACAGGTGAGGTCCCCGGGACGGTCTAAGGCAGTGGCACGGGAAGCCAGCCGTAAAAGATGACGAGGAGTCAGTCGGCCGCGTGGGAGGGAAGGTGTCCCAGGCAGGTGGAACAGCATATGCAAAAGCCCGGAGGCAGGAAGGAGCATGATGTCAAGGAGCGGTGGGCCTCGGGGCTCAGACAGTGAGCGAGAGGGTCCACGGGGGCGGAGGACGGGGAAGCTGGACCACAAAAGGCGTGTGTGTCCCGTGACATCGTTGGGTGTTTATCCTAAAAGCCGTGGGAAGTCACTGAAGGGTGTGCAGCAAAGGAGGTGTGATCACATTTGCATTTTACTCGTCTCTCTTTCTCCAACAGCCTAAATGGGAACTTCTTCAAGCCCGAGGAGGTCAGAGGCTTTGAGGGTGAGAAGCGGCTGGTCCTTTCCTGAGAGGACGCCTTCCTGTCCGAGGCTCTGGCCCTGAGAGGGGCGCTGGCGGCAGCAGCAGCCACTCTGCGGTCACCCATCTTGCTTGGGGCCTGCCGGGAGCCCAGGGCCTTCACAGATGCTCTGACGGGCAGTTTCACGGAGAAGCGTGGGCTTTGTGAGCCATACTGTTACTGGAAGCATACATGCAGAGCCGGTCCTGAGTGCCCGCGATCATGGTAACCGTATCCAGAGGAATGGCTGAGCTCGTACGACGCTGGCCCTGGCGGCTGGGGGAGTGGGATGTCGATGCTCCCCTCACTGAGCCGCGGAGGACACGGTGCAGAGAAGATGCTCCGTGAACAAGAAGTGTTTCGCCTGCAATGTGATGCTGTCCCTCCCACTTCGCAGCTGCAGCTCTGAGGGGTGCCCCGTGTGGGGTGGCAGTGGGTGCCCAGGAGAAGACTCGGCACCGGCTTTTTCTTTTCTTTTTTTAAAAAAAATATATTTTTATTGATTTTACACAGAGAGGAATTGAGAGGGATAGAGAGTTAGAAACGTCAATGAGAGAGATACACCTATCAGCTGCCTCTTGCACACCCCCCACCGGGGATGTGCCCGCAACCAATGTACATGCCCTTGACCGGAATCGAACCCAGGACCCTTCAGTCCGCAGGCCGACGCTCTAACCACTGAGCCAAACCGGTTTCGGCTCGGAACAGGCTTTTTCATCCTGGGGCCTCCCTGCTAACCAAGACCACTGGCTGCTCTAGCTGAGAGCGAGGGCGATGCCGGCTTTCCCACTGCGAGGCTGACCTCCGGAGACTCACACTGAGGCAGAGCTGCTCTGCCCCAGGAAGACTGTCCGCCCCCTCTTGTGTCCTGGCACCCACAGAGCCCCCTCTCCCCTGCCCACCTCAGGTCTCCGGCCTGAGTAGTTGTGAGGGTGATGGAGTTGGAGCCAAGAGTCAGGCAGCTCTGAGGACCCGCTAGCACGTTGGGTGCTAACAGGGAGGGTGGCGATGGGACCAGACGACCTGCCCTTTTGCCAGTTCATTTGTTAATAAATCCTGAACACACTGAGTCCGGGATGCCTTAGGGACTGGATCTGGTGAGCAGTTTCCTGATCCCCACACTGGCACCTCCAGTGTACTGGGCGGGGCCCTGGGTGACCGTGGGAGAGCCCGGTGCCGTCAGAGGCGTCTTCATTCTGGTCTTTCACGGGCCTCTCCATCCACCACCAAGTCCAGACAGTGGCTGCTGGGAGGGAATGACTGGGGCAGGGGCGGGGGCCAGGGCATGCTGGCTTGGACCAAATCTCACTGCCTCCCCGCTGTGCCAAGAGAGGTCCTGGCAGGCCAGGCCCGATGTCCACTCTGTTCCTCAGCCCAGAGGTACCGAGCTGAGGGGTTGGACACGAGAGGGGAAGGGGAAGCAGCACCTTTGTGTCCTCGGCAGCCTGTTGGGAAAGGTGCAGTTCTACTGGTGCCTGGGCTGTGGGGGAAATTCTGTGCAGTCACCAGCCGCGTGGTGGCCATTCCCATAGGCACTGTTTGGCAGTTCCTACCCACCTCGCCTCTTCCCCCAGATCTGCACATTCACCTACAGTCACCCTGAGGCAGCAATCCTCCTCTACCAGAGAATCTGGGCACAGCTATGCCCAAAGCACGAAGGCGGATGCACAGAGCCAGAGAGCCGCATTTCTTAGCCGACACACTAGTACTGGATTACACCCCTCGCTCTCAACTTTTGAGTCTAAAATTTATTCGGAAACGACCACAAGTGACGGCTTTTAGAGACTCAAAATCTACCTGCTGTTGGCTTACGTTCCATTTGGAAATGCCTTGGTCTTCTAGGTGAGGAATGACAGGTTTTTCTCTCACAAAAGTAGACTCAGGACCTTAACTTGCTGGGCAGGGATGTGGGGACTTTCCTAGGCAAGACAGACACAATGGAAAAAGGGAAAGGAAAAGAAAAAAGAATTCCGAAAACTCGGATACAATTCTTTCTTTCCACAGGAAAGAAGCCACAGCTCCCACGTTTCAGCCATGCGTTTCTGGCACATGCCTGCTGACTGTGAGCTTACCCGGGCGGCGGCGGGCTGGTCCTGAGTGAGGCTGCTGGAACCTCCATTTCCGCCTTGCAAAGGGAATGGAGAGCCCCGACTGGCAGGGTGGATTGAGGATGAAACAGCTGATGGAAGGAAAGCAGTCACACAGATGGCGCGGCCGCTGCTCAACACGCGCTGGTTATTATCAAACCCATGTTTCTCTTTTCCGCTCACAGAACCCACAGGTTGTCCACATCTCTTAGGTTTAGGGAACTTCTCAACAAGGTCAAACATAGGGCTGGAAGGTCTCAAAGTCAAGTCCAAAAATATTCAACACTGAGCTTCCTGCAACAGCCTAGCTTTGTCAGTGAAAAGACATTGTTACCAAAGAGCCCTGCCATGTATGCATCACTCACTGAACGGGAGGCGGGCCCATGTCTTCCTCGCACCGCGGGGAGCCAGCCCCAGCACCCGAAGCCGGCCCAGGAACCTTTGCCAGGGGCATTTCCAGCTCCTGAACTGGGAAGGAGCAGTTGGATCACTGCTATCCAGGGCTGGCACTCATCTACTTCAGTAATTACTCAAACAACCACCAACCAATCAACCTTGCCGTGGAGCTGGAAGGCAAAGCCATGATCATTATCCCAGCACATGGATAGGAATTTTAATAAAAGTGGAATTCACTCGTGAGGAGGCCCTGGATCAAGTTACCCAGCAGATGGGCTCAAGGCAGAGCTGCAGGGCCCAGGACCATCCCAGCACGATTCTCTCAGCCTTAAAACTGCATCAGCTGCACCCACGATCAGCTTAGAACCTTTAGTGGCACTAAGCACTGAAACGGTCATGGGCCTCTGATGATCTGTAACTTAAAATAAATAAACAAACAATAGTACATTATAAAGTAAGTGCCAGGATGCTAAACAATTTTCTGGTTTTTCCCATGACAACTTGGGTACTTTCTTGGAGAATAACAAATATCAAAATATCTCAAATTTCTTTCATTATTTTTTCTGTCTCGGTGCTTTATTTTTTTTAACTATAAAAGCAATATCACAATATGGAAATAAAAATTTAAACTTGTGATAACATTATACTAACACAGTATTGTATTTTTTGCATGTCATCTTCCCGGGTTTTGCCTTCTTTGTTTTTACTGTGGTAAAATATATAACATAGAATTTGCCATCCTACCCATTTTTAGTGCAGTTCAGTGGTATTACATGTAGTCACACTGCAACGCAACCACCACCACCACCCAGCTCCGGGACTCTCTTGTTCTTGCAAAACCGAAACTCTGTCCTCATCAATGCCACATCCTCTCCCCCAAACCCCCACACCCATGTCCCTGGCAATGAGCCCTCTACTTTCTCTTTCTATGATTTGACTACTCTAATGCCCCTATATACAGGGGATCATGCAGTGTTTATCTGTTGTGTCCGGCTTATTTCTTTTCCAACCTATGTGAGCCTGTGCAGTGTAGGGGTGAAGCAGGTGGTTTGGAAGCAGGTGGAGTGAGAGAACAGAAGGAAGCCAGCAGTGTCCCTTTGAATAGGAACAACACTCTTGCCCTGGACTTTCGCCCTAGTCCAAGCATGTCAAACTCAAAGGCTAACACGGGCCAACTAAACAAGGTTTAAGTCTGTGGGCCACAAAAAATCAAAAGCTTCAATTTTCATAGAAAGGTAGGTTTATTTCGGGAAGTGCAGTATAAAAAGAACAAGAGCAATGACAAAGTTAATGTTTCTTCCTGACGCTTGGCTTCTCTCCTCTGCCACCATCTTTCCCACTTCGGGGGAAATCTTGTTTGCAGTGATTACTTCCAAAACTGACCAAGGTCAGTGTCAGTAATTCTGGATCTGGACAGGAGACCTATTTCCTTTCATAACTGTCAATAGTGCTCACACCATGATATTGGCTGGGCTGCAAAAACATTCATTGTGGACATCCTTGCCCTGGATCAGTGGTCACCAACCGGTGGCCCACAGACCACTGGTGGTCCGTGAGGTCCGAAAGGTTGGTAACTGCTGCCCTTGTGTCCAGCGCGTCCCCCCTCCCCCCACTTCCCCACACAGATCATCGCTCAGAAGGACACAGGCAGTAACTACAGCTGGGCTGCAGGGAAGATGAATGGCCCACAAGCATCTCTATGAAGGTTGATATTGTGCTAGAACCACTTAGTAAGACAGGACAGCTGCATTTTCAAAATCAGGTTTCCTCGATATAAAAGTATACATTTGAATGGCTTTATCAGTGGATAGAGCGTCAGCCTGTGGACTGAAGGGTTCTGGGTTCCAACCAAGGGCATATGCCCGGGTTGCAGACTCAATCCCCAGTTCAGGGATGCAGGAGGCAGCCAATCAATGATTCTCTCTCATCGATGTTTCTCCCTCTCCCTTCCTCTCTGAAATCAATAAAAATATATTAAATAAATATAATATTCATATATATGGATGTGTCCTTACTTTGCCTAAACAAACCCAATCTAATCGAGCCCATTCACACTGGGTCTGATGGCAACTTCCTCTCAGCAACCCCGTGAAGAAGGACTGATCTCATGAATAAGGAAACAGACCCAGTGAGTGTAGATAGGCATCGTGTCATACTGATCAGGACGCATGTAAAGATAGAACAAGTCCTGGCCAGTGTGGCTCAGTTGGTTGTGCGTTGTCCCATACACCAAGAGGCTATCAGTTCCTGGTCAGAGCACATGCCCTGGCTTCTGGTTCGATCCGCGGTGGGCTGTCATGCAGAAGGCAGCCAACTGATGTTCGACTCTCACATCGCTATTTCTCTAAAAACATTTTTAAAAAATGGAACAAAAGAAAGGCAAAACCCTTCGTGTGGCCAGTGAGGACACGTGCTAGCACGCCCACGGTCACACGTTACGGGCAAGAACGAGGACATGGGCCTTCTGCTGGTGTTACTTTCCCCGTTCTGACTGTGTGACCTTCGGCTCACTCAGCAATAACCTTTCTGCCACACCCATTCCTAGTAAACCTAGCCATTGGGGCGGTGAAACAATGACCTCCCTGCCCTAGGGTTCGCTGGGTAGCCTGGTCTTCACGCCCAGATCCGAGGAGCTAAAAGCGACAGGATCCAGAGTCTCATGTACAGGCCTCGCTGTCTGAGAGTCGCAGGAACAGGAGCTCCTGGCGAGTGAGCCAGCGGCTTCCTCACTGGCCACAGGCCCTCCAGCCCCCAGCACCGGACTGACCAAAGCAGTAGGCGCACAGGGAAAGCTAAAGACTGACCAAAGCAGTAGGTGCACAGGGAAAGCTGGAGGTCAGAGTGGGCGATTCTCATCACAAGAGGGCAGCACACGCCAGCAGTGCCCCATCACGCACATGGCCCGGAGGAGTCAGGACCGGTGACTGAGGGTTTTATTTCGGTAAAAATCCCTCCAAAGTACATGGTTTTAAAAGCAACTGCATCTCCAGCCGATTCGTCTGAGTTCAGAGACATCGGTAAGCAGGGAGGCCGGCCCAGGGCATCCAGAACAGCACTGTTACAGACAGTTCTCGGGTGCTAGGATCTGGGTTCAAACCCCAGTGCTCCCAGAAGCGGTGTGACCTTGGACAAATGGCTCAGCTTTTCTGTGCCCGAGTTTCCTGCCCACACCAGCAGCTCCCCTCGCAGGGCTGTTAGGCGAAGTAGATGAGTGTATGTAAAGCACATGGGGTAGGGCTCCAGCAATGGGAGCTCAGGTTACCTCCAGCTCCTTATCCCTCCAGCACTGCCTCAGTGAGGATCAGGGATCAGGCGATGGGCCATCCTTCCCATCCTGAGCCCCGCCTGCTCCCCCCCCCCCCAAAAAAAAAAAACAACCAAAAAAAAAACACACAGCTATTTTCACAGTGCAAGCTCCCAACTCCTCAGCAGCCCCGAGACTGGAGGCCATGGCCAAGGCTGAACACCTGTGGGCTGAGAGCCAAGCAGCCCCGACACAGGCACACGTCCAGGCCGTTCAGAAGCTGCATCAGGAAAGCCCAAGCCCACATGCATCCCGATCTGACTCCACCAGCTGCTCTCCACACGGAAGCCCTGTGGCCCAAGGGCACTGCGTTCTTTGATGGCAGCAGGTGGCTCCCGGGTCCTAGTGTTTCTTTCCCTTGTCACCATGGCTCTGCATGAAGCAGAAGGGAAAGAGGGGCGTCCCGAGAACCAGCAGGAGAGGACAGAACAAAACAGACCAAATCAGGAAGGTGGAGGGGGATGGGCCAACTCCGGAAACCCTGACTTCCACCCTGCTGTCGCCTGGGTCCAGGAACCGGCCCCGCGTGTGGGCCACCAGCCTGCCTCTTGGACAAAGGCCAGTGGAGCCGGCAGCTCATGGGCCAGAGCAGCTGTGATGGGTGCCTGTCTGCCACCAGCGCTTCCAGATTGCCCAGGGGTGCCCATAGGCAGCGTGCAGGGCTTCCTCCTGCTGAGAGGCGTGTACTTTGCTGCCCTCCCCCAGGAGGCCTTGGTGGTGGTGAAGGAGGCCCTGCCATTGGAATCACCCGGCCCAGCTCAACCTGTGCTCACCGCCGCCCCTGGAAGATTTTCTCAGACGGTTTCTCTCCTCCCG